TCAACTGGATGCACAGAAATCCAACAAAAGGGAATGTGTCCACGAGAGCTACTATATTGCAGATCACCAAAGGGACACACAATCGGATGTGCCAGGCTATCCCAGGGCAACAGGGACACCTCAAAAGTGGGTCTGGAACTGAGTCATGAAGAACAAGTTTGCTAAGCTGAGAGCAAAAGGCAACTTGAACTGAGGGGTACAGTGTCTATCGCAGGGAGGTATAAGCCGTCATGGCGTGTCACCTCAACAAGGACAGCCGAGATCATGGGGCGTGTGGAGTAATTAGGGTAGGTGGCAAGCAGGGACGGAGAGAATGTTTAGGAATCACTGTTACATTCCACAGCTCAAAGTACAAGATGTGTGGGAAGGGGGATCCGCCGGCCACAGGGACCCTCCCCAAGCTTGCTGGTTTCACACAGGCATCTCTGCCGTGTGGTTGCTCTACTGCACCCTTCTAAAAGCCAGCCGTCTTTCCAGGAAAAAGAAAATCTTTTTCGGACTAACTGTAGTTCTGATTTTTCACTCATTTTGCAAAAATGGTGTTTTACAGTCAGGTAAGGAAGCACTCATGAATGTATGTGAAGAACCTCACTTGAAGGATTTGCTTTAGATTCCTGGTAGTAATATTTTCTATCCTTTACAAAAGTTTTAGTTGTACTTTTTCTAATCTGCTTTTTCTAAACTAGTAAAAGCTAGTTTTCTGGAACTAGGTTACAGACAGACTTTGGCCCATTTAACAAGGTCAGACTGTTTATTCTTGACAGAATTCTTTCCCACTGTAAAAAGGTACTTTTTAAATGCCACATTCCAAAACCAGTGCCAGTAAGCCACTGAAGCATAGTTTCCCACAAGAACTGATACCATGTGCGGTCCCTCCCTCCCTGAGATCGCCCAGTGTTCAGAAGGTGCAGACAGTACTCAATGCCACCATGAAACCTATCAGCTGAAGTGGATCAGCCAGGTGCTCAGTAAACACTTCTACATATTTAAAAGCATTGGTGATCGTTACAAAGTAATTAATCAACATAAAAATGGGAGAAGGGAACGATGGTTTTAAAAAATGAAAAAAAAATTAAGACAGTAAAATAAAATTTGTAACTTTATATTAGCATCCAAACCTAGAAGTAGCAGAGCTTTTTATTCTTTATTTTGGGGTTTTTATGGTTGAGCTGTTAAATTTACAGCCCCATTTTTAGGTTCTGCCAAGCCTTCAAGATAAATATATGAGCAGCGCTAAAGTAAATTCTCCTACGCTTTCTCCTTCTTTCCTTTGGATGTTTCCCTGAGACTCGAAGGTACATTATCCCTCCACAGCCAGCTGTCAAGTTTAACATTCCCAGTTATGAGGGATTTAAAAAATCATCAGTATCCTTACAGACACTGGGGGCAAAAGTATCACTCAGCCTACATTTCTACCCCTAGAGAAAAGAAATGATGAAAGCAAGGACAATAAAAGGAAGGGCACAGCTGCTCAAGAAGCATCATTTAGGAACAGATTTAGAAAAGTAGCAATGAAGTCAGAAAAATTAAACAGAAAATCCAGGACTACAAAGCAACCCTTGAGAAGTGTGACTTGAACTTTCAGAGATACACAGGTTGTCAGAAACACGTATCTAATCTTTTAAAGGACTGTAAACACACAAACTAGATGTTTTAGGCTTTTCCTGAAACAGTATGCTCTTCCAAAGACCCTGAAAAATATGTTTCTTAAATAAAATAGATCATTAAAAACATAACAACATACGAACAAGTTAGAGAGATGGGGGAAACTCTGTGAGCTTGAAAAAGGAAGGATGAAACACAATGAGGATTATCTGAAACTTAGGGATGCTCGCGTAGACAGACATTTGAAGTATAAATGTTTCCAATGGAGCCCAAGCTACCATCAGGGACTGATGCAGGGAACGGGGAAGATCAGTTGAAAGTTGTGTCTCAAACAAAACAAAAACCCCTTACAAACCTTTAGATGTTTGTAAGTGATGATGCAAACACAAGCAGTAACACAGATTTGGAAGTTCGTTCCACTGATTCATTTGTGAAAGCAGGCAGTTGTGGAACAAACTAAAAATAGTGAGAAATTTGATGATGTTAAGTGACAATAAGTGATTATGTGCCTGAGGTAGTCTTTGGACCTTAAGACAGCAAAGTGGGTTGGAGATACACTGCAAAATAAAACAACAACGACAACAACAATAACAAAGTTTTGTATATCATACTAGAGAGTTTGATATTTGGGTCCGATGAGATAGCTCAGCAGACTAAGCACCTGCTTTGGCAAGTGCAGGGACCAGGGGTTTGTCCCCAGGAGCATGCTGAGCCAGCAAACAAGTCTGGGTGTGGTGGTACATGCTGGGGAGGCTGAAAACAGGAGGATCACTATTGAGTCCAAGCTCCATAGTGAGACCCTGTATCAAATACCCAAAATGGAAAAAAAAAATCATAGGGTTTGGTATTTGTTCTTTAGGCACTGAAGAGTCATGAGAATTTCATTCATTTGCCTTGTATTTCTTAAGTGCTTACCAGGTACAATGAAGGCACTGCAACAAACACTAAAATAGTATAAAATTCTGACTGTGTGGAGTATACATGGGTGTATCCAATGGGACAGAATTTGAGCAATGTATTTTGACTTAAAAACTTACACATGAGATTACTGAAGCTCAAGGAAAATAATGATGTGGCCAATTTTCCTTTCAAGGAGATAGTGACAGCTGTAAAACACAAGCTTGCACATCCAAAAATTAAAGAGGATACAAAATCCAATCTATAGAAATGTTGCTTTATATTCAATTCCATGGACCACGCCTCATAGTCTGATAAGAAATGAAGACCCTTGGGTTTAAAAAACATAGGTAATATCTCCTTAAATGAAGTTCTTCAGACTGGCCTCTGGCCAAGCACTGAATGCATATTCCCTTAAGAACATTAAAGGTAAGAGACAACAGTACTCTGTCCTCTTCTGGATTCCCGAGAACCTTCTGCTTGCCAGCATTTGTTCTGCCAACCTTAAGACAGGGGCTTGGTCTTCACATTTAAATTTGGCTTCAGGTCTGGTGAGATAGCTCAGTGGACTAAGCATCTGCTAACACAAGTATGGGGACCAGGGTTCGATCCCGGGCACCACATGCCATATTGTCCCCGCTTGGCAGGCAAACTGAGCCAGTCACTGACTGGGCACACACCTGTAATCCCAGTGCTGGGGAGGCTGAAAAGAGGAGGATCACTATGAGTTCGAGCTGTGTAGTAAGACCTTGTATCAAATACAATCAGTAAATAAATAAATAAATAAATAAATAATTTTGGATTCAGGTTTCAGTGGTACCATATGGAGTGTTCATGACAGGACATTAAAAAAACAGGTGACAACCAGAACAGATCTATATATCATATCTGGATAGGACAGGCTGACTGAACATGTATGGAGCAAGACATCTAGTCCTTTCTCTGAGTAAAGCATCCTACCGCAGGTAGCACTCTAGCTAAATTCCTTTTGTCCACAAGTAATTTACAAAGGTGATCACTTACAATGGTGCTAGAATTAGGTAGATCAAATGAATGACTATCTTTTACAAATATGGACAGTAATCGTTTGGTTCATTTTACCAACTAGAGCTGGCATAATCAGACAGGCACATGTATCTTCCTGCACAGTACAGAATTCGTTCTCTTTCTGCATGGGAGAAATTCTCACAGTGGTCATCACTGTTTGCCTTTGCTGTGGAGGCCGAGTTAACCTATCATATAGTGATTCAAAATGTGTTTTATTACCACTGAGAATGCGCAATGGAAGATCTGGAATGGGTGTTCATGTTTGTCTTGGCTCTGGCATTTTCCACGTACCCAGTCCTGGGAATCCTAAAGAAAACGTGTCCTGTTCCCAGCTCTGTGCACTGCCCCCATTGTGTTCCACTTCCCTTACTAGGGAAAGTGAAAACGAAACCAGCACAAACACCCCATTGTTAGCTATGAAATACGTACTGGCAACTGAGGTCCTAACAAAACAGACCTGGTAGTGTCATGGCAAGATGCTGAGTGGGGAGGGCGGTCTGGAAGCCCTTCCTTCTTCAGAGGTGTATCCTGCACTTTTGCTGAGGTGCTGAAGCCACAGGGCTTTGGGTTTTTTCCATTATACTCATGTAATGCTCTTGGTTTGATTTATTCAGTATGCACTGGCAGCTTCTGGAGGCTTCTGTGGGAGCAACTCGGCTGCCCAAGCTGAGGCACAGACCCTGCCAGGTCTCCATAGTAAACACAAGATGCACGAAGTGGAAACAAGCATAAACAATTTATTTTCTCCTGTAAAAGATGACATTGTTCTCCAATCTTGGGTCCTGCTTCAGTCTTGTCACTTGGCAGTGCCAAGTGGGTGCCATACAATGAGCTATTCCAAACACACACACACACACACACACACACACACACACACACACACACACAACACAGACTGCATGATGCACACACACATCACAGTGCCTACCTATCCAGGCAGCTTCCAACAAGGGCAAGCTGGTGACCTCTGAGGGTATCCCATGGGTGAGCAGGGCGGGCTTCCTGGACACCATCCCTGGCAGGTTCCTGAGTCATCTGTTTTCATAGAAGCCACACAGAACCTTAGCTCTGTCTCTAACTATGTATTCTTTTGTATGACTACTTTAGGGAGATCTGGTGCCTCATCTGGCTTGAAAACTCTTTGATAGCAAAGACCTTGCGCATTCTGTACAATCACCACTCAGGTTCACTGATGGTAACCTGGCTCATGAAAAGTCGCCAGCAGATATTTGTTGACTGAAAGCCATGACTCTCCTTTAATTTTTCCCAGTTTCCCTGAATCTAAATTTTTCTTTTAGTGTTTAATAAATACTACCAACATTGAAGTTAGGCTAAGAAACCAATCAGTGTCACAGGTAAAAAGGAGGTACACAATCCAAATTTGGTACTGCTTATTGTCTTACTAAAACAAGCTTTAAAAATCTTCTGTTCCATTAAAAAATTCCCCAATGGTGCTCGCTTTGGCAGCACATGTACTAAAATTGGAATGATACAGAGAAGATTAACATGGCCCCTGCGCCAGGATTACACATAAAATATTCCCAAATGATTCTGTATTTTTTGCAGTCTACTAATAATAGTCTTACTAGTGTTTTTAAGTTTATGTACTGTCTTTTGATGATTTCTACAGAGAAAAGATGTTTTACAACATACACATCTTTTAGCAGGGTTGGTTAGGTAAAAAACACGTTTGGAGAAGGTGAATGTAATTCACCTAGTGAAACTATATTAATAAAATTATTAAAAATAGGAAAACATTTCCAATTTTTCATTATGGTACAAAATGGAAACTCCCTCCAAACTGTGTTAGGCACAGATAGTAAAAGAAAAAAAATACTAATTTAATAGTGAGTAAGACTGCTGAGTGTAGTGAAGAAACTGGTTTACGGTAGGACACTCCTGGCCTTCGTAGCAGAAGCTAAAGTCGGCAAGGTAACCAAAGGAACGATCTCATTTTAGGGTACACACGTCTTCCTGTTCATGAGTAGTTTTAGGGTGATCATCGCACAAGGGTGGCCAGCCCTTCTTTACCTTTTGGCACTGGCGATCACATCTGAATATAAATGTGCCTGAAAAGAATGGCCTCATTTTGTGGTACAGACTTCTTTCTACCCACGAGCAGTTTTACGGTGACTGTGCTGGACAGTGCCTGGCCTTACCTGCATGGCACTGGCATTCACATCTGGGAATACAAACACCTAGAAGAAGTCTCACGTGCAGTGAGTACAGCACCGTCTACGAGCTGCTACAATTACGCACCTGGATGATGTACAGGACTGGACATACACACAGCAGCGGCTGAATGCTGGATTTTCCCTAACCAATACTACAAAATATTCAGATGTGCAAGAATGTCAGAAATTTTTTTTTCTGAAATCTACATTAAAAAATAAACTAGGCAGCACCAGTTTAAAAATTTACAAATAAACTGGGTGCACACCTCTGTGTTCCTCACTGGGTCAAAACATGATAGCAGCTAAGTTATTTTTTAAAACTTTAAAATACATATTATTTATTTTTTTAATAGTACCGGTGATCGAACTCAGGACCTTGCGCTTGCCAGGCAGGCGCGCTGCTGAGCTATATCCCTGGCCCAACAATATTTTTCAAATGGACTCTTGAACATTTCTGGTACCTCTGGATCTATTTCCTAGAATCTGAGGATTCCAAGAGACACTGTTTGATGTTTTGTGAGATACTAAAGCCTTCAGTGGGGAGAAAAGGAAAGTAGGGATTGTGGGTGAGAGCCAGATTAGAAACATCACAATTCTCCAAGTCATTTACAGTCTAGTTGATAAATTTAGACTTAATCTGGTTTAAGTCTCAGTTTCCTCACTTTCAATATAGGGTGGCTGATAAACAGTTCCTATAACACCAAAGGCAGTAAGATCACCTTGAATACTCAATGGTTAGATTTAATAAAAAAAAAAAATGAAGACTTTACATCATAAACAGAAAAGATGGTTCCCTCCCTGAGTTGCTGGCAACAGGCTTTATGATAATCAGAGCCTGGCGATGCTCTGAGCCTCTCTGACAGACCTGGGTGCGTGATCAGGCAGGACCGAAGCCGGTCGAGCGGTTCCCCTTGATTTCCTTTCCTTCACAACAAAAAAGAGCTGGACCAGAGACTGCATTTCACATGGGAAGGAGGTGACTTTAGACTCTCAATATAATGTTAGCTAGCCTTAACAGTCATCATACTGAGTTTGTGTATATTTTTGATTCTTGACACAATTTTGCCAGAGATTATATAAATATATGAATCACGACTCATACATATTACTTATTCTAACGGAAAGAAGCTCCCCTTTGATTTTCCACATACAGAGTCGTTCACTATGCCAGGGAAGTCGATTTTTCATGGTTTCAGAGCAGTTTTGTTGTTGTTTTTATTTTTGTACTTGGAATTGGACTCATGACCTCATGCCTGCCAGGAGGTGCTGTGCAGCTGAGCTATATTCTCAGCTCCTGAGAAATTTTCTGATAAAAACAACTTACATCGAGGAGTGAGGTCCTATTTCTCCCCTCATTTCCAGCTCTGTAACCCACAAAGGACCTCACATCCATCCATCCAGGCGTTCCAGTCTGAGGTCTGGTCCCTGCCCACATACCAGCAAACAACTGCCCCTGGCTGAGGGACACACACACAGCGGCACAATCCACCGTTGGGAAGAAGGCTGAACCTATGTGGCTCCCATGTGCTCAGGGAATGCCAGCTTCTGGAGGGCAGGAGAGAGGTTTCTGAGGCAGGTCTCTTTGCCATACGTGGCTCTGTGTGCATGAAGGAGACTTGATCAGAGCAACCAGCACAAGCTCCTGTAAAGCACGGGCCCAGGCCAGGGCCAGTCGTGTGGAATTCAAGATGCACACTGCTGTCATCCTCACGCTAATCCTACTGCCTTTAAAGAGAGAGGTTTAAACTCCACTTGGCAAAGATAAGTGCGCATGCAGCACTACACACTGAGCAACAAGAAATGAACATCCCCTAAAGTCATCTTGGTGTTGTGCTGGAAGCAGCCCAGTAAAGACAGGCATCTACAGAGCACTTCATTTTGAGATAAGCTCCAACTTATCGGGGACACCAGCTTATTTAGGCTTACGGTGAAGACCAATTATAGCTGCAACCACGGTCCAGACTTTCCATGATTCTCCCGAAGCTCACTTCTACCAAAAAGGCTGAAGGAAGGAATAGATTCCATTTTGAAGGAGAGAAAAAACCAAACCAAAACAAAACAAAAAAACAACTTTTTAATTTTAAAGAGAAAACCTCCCCCCACAAAATTTCAAAATAAAATAATACAACAATAGTTAATATGTTGTGTATTGTTATCTTTAAGTTAGGTATTCAACTACAAGATATCGACATTTAATTATGCAAAACTATTAGCATAAGCCTTACTTTTCAATGACCTATGAGAAATTAGTAGTATAACTATATTAACTATCTTGTATATATTTATAAGTACATTTATAGATTCATATTTATTTATATATACTATATAGTATATATACACATACTTACACACACATAGAGACACGTAGATCTATCTATCTATCTATCTAGGGTTTTTTTATCTACTATCTATCTATCTATCTATCTATGGTTTTTTTTTTGGCTTTTCCTTTCCTTCTTTTCTCCTTTTCTCATCTCAATTTTTCTTTCCTTTTGAACATTTTCTTCCCATTTCGCAATATCTACGGTACACTTTGGATCTTATCTACCCTTTCAGCTTCTCACACTAGGGAGGACATTATGATATCTACACATATGCACCTGGTTTATTTCACTTATGAGTATGGCCTCAAGTTGCATCCATTTACCTATAAAAGTCTCCTGTTGATCCTTCTTTATGGCTGAATAGTACTCCCTTATATAAAAAAATCACATCTTTTTTATCCATTCCTCGGATGATGGACAATTGGTAAAAATTCTTTTGTTAAAAGAGTACAAAATAGTTAAGACTGGAAGATAAAAGATTACATTTTAAAATTACTAAAAAAAAGTCACCCCAAGAATAGCTAATATTTTAATTATTCCAGAAAAGAAAAAGAGGCAACAACACGGTAGAGTGATAGGCAGCAGAAAAAAAGCCTTTCTGAGTGTTGCTGTCCAGACAATGGAATATAGCAACGTGAGGAAGACAAGGGAAGTGGGTACCCTGGAGCCAGGAAGGACCTGAAACTTGAATTGAAGCCAAGGAGAAAGTGAAGAGAGAAGCTTCAACAAAGGAGGTTGTTAGTGACACCTCCTTGAGATGGGACTCACTACGTGAGAGTAATTCAAACCTCTGGACACATGGTGACTGCTGGGGACCACAGAGGCCTCCACAAAGAGGTGTAGCAGTGGAGAGAAGCAGTGGATGTGAAGGACCGCACTAGCTGATGGTGAATGGTGAGGGCTCAATCATCCCTTGTGAGAGAGCAATTGGCCAGGGCCCTTCTCAGAGTGGGGCTGGCTGAGCTCAGAACTCAAGGGAGGCTGCTGGCACCACCTAGCGGCTCCCAGCTGGGCTCAGGCCCATGGAAAGTGCACTGACCACTGCAGGGTGAATGGGGCTGGTCACAGCCCGAAGGAGCAGGCCCACTGAGATTATCCACTACCCTACCAAAAAGCGACTGCTGGCTTGCCAGGATACACCAACATGGATTGGGACTCCGCCTCCACACGTCTACTGGTGACATCAGAGACAAACCTGGACGTGGACTTTTTTTCTCTCTCTTATTTATTTATTTATTTATTTATTTATTTATTTTTTCCCTCCTTCACATTTGATCTTGTTTTTATATGAGTGCAAATGTGTTTTCTAGCCTTTCTGTAGTGGTATTCTATCTGTTCTTTTTTTCCTCTCTCTCTTCTTCGCTTTAATTCTTCTGCACCAGTTTCCCAAAATTACTGGGATTCCCACTTTGTCTTCCAGCCTTCTAATCTCTTCTTCTTTTACCTATTTTTTTTTCCTAATCTGTTTTAAATTTTAAAATTGACATTTTAATGACTTATATACTGCTTATAATTTTCTGGTTGGTTTTAGATTTTGTTATATAATCACATGGTTCATATGGTTAAAGATGACAAATTAATGACAAACCTTTGTTGTTTTCTGGGTGTGATTGATGCTGTTATTGCTGATGGTACCACTTCAGCTAAAAGAAACATAATTATTCTAAACAGCTATTCTTCCTGGTATCACAAGACTGAGATTGACTAAGGGTCCTAGAAAATGCTGTGGCACAAGGAACTAGGCGCTGGGCCAGTGAGGCAGCAACTTCTCATCAACAACAAATTTAAGAGTTCCTTGTTCCCCACAGCCTCTCCAACATTTGTTGTTGGCTGATTTCTTTATGATAGCCATTCTTTCTGGGGTGAGATGCTATCTCAATGTTGTTCTAATTTGCATTTCACAGATGGCTAGTGATATGGAGCATTTTTTCATATATTTATTCGCTTCTTTAATTTCATCCTCTGACAAATGTGTGTTCATCTCGGATGCCTATTTCTAGATTGGGTCTTTAAATTTTGGGGCCCTAATGTTTTCTAGTTCTTTATAAATTCTAGAGAGCAGA